CAAGGGTAGGCACCTAACAGCGGTGAAGCAGGCCGGGTTAGGCGGCGTACTGCGGCAGAATAGTGGGTCCAACGGAGCCGGATCTCGGTAACTGCTCCGGCGAAGCCGGAGATATCAATCCGGGCTCTAGCCCGTGACAGTGATATGCCTGTTGCCCAAAGCAGCCGCCAAATCTAATGGTGTTCTCTGTTGGTTATCCTCGGCTGAAATATCCAATCCCTTGCCCATGAGATACTGGAATCTCCTTTCTTGGATGTGCGATTTGTTTCTCTCAGCAGCCACGATATGCAGCAGCGTTTCCTTTGCATGATTCACCACGCCGAAATCCACCCCCATCTTCTCCAAAAGATCAAAAACAGGATTCTCGAGTGCTTTGAAATTTTCTTTCCGCCCAACTGGATTCCCAAAGAGGCCAGGTTTGCTTTCCAGTACGAGTTGGGGCGAGAACAGGGAGGGCCCAGTCTGAGAGACCAGGTGGTTCCCGACATTCGTCTTGGCTTCTTGAGTCTTGGCCCATGATGAGCAACGATCTATGTGACCAGATCGGAAGAAGGAGAACACGGGTGTCTCCCCAAGACTATTGGGAAGATTTATGTCAACGCCCAAGGCCAAAAGCCGATCCAACAGTTGACGTCTGGGGCCGATGACCACTCCATCTTCTGAGACGTCGAAGACTCCGCCTAAAAGGAGATGGAACGATGTGTTCCCATCCTTTGCTGAAGAATGCGGATTGCTGCCGGCATCAAATAACGCATCAATAACATCTGTATTCTCTTTGAGACGCGATACAGCAAGGTACAGTGCAGTTTGACCACGATCATCTCGGATAGATGGATGCGCACCTGCATCAAGCAGCAGTCTGACCTCGCTCAATGATGTTGCCAGATGAAGAGGGGCGATGCCTTCTTCAGATACTTGATTGACAATCTCTGGAGCCTGCGACACAAAATATCTCACCGCCTCCAGTGTCTTTCCCTCGGCCGGAAGGAGTTTGTGAAGGACATTGCAACCTTTGTTGTCACGAGCCCGGATATCGGCGCCCTTTCTGACCAAGAGTTGGACAGGAGAAAGTTCAGCTATGTCCTCTGTGATGTAGTCGGTGAATTGACCAGTGATGGGGTCATCCCAGTGACATGCTGACAGAAGCAATGTCTCTCCGGAGTCGTCGCGTATATCCACATGCTCGAGAGGAAGTTCGTGAGAGACCCACGAGAAGCAACCTAGGCTGAGAATGGCGTGAGAAACTGTTGTACCTTCATATTGTGTGCAAAAGTCTGCTCCATGATGAATTAGAATTCTAGAGATCCTGTCATATGCGGAGATACCCTCAGCGTCGAGATTATAACTGCATCGCTTCCATGCTGCATGATGCAAGAGGTGCATAGCATAGCGTGGAAGTCCATGGCGGCGACTGCGGCGACCAACCTGAAATGGATTCGGTTTCCAAGAGGGCGTTGAGAAGACTGATTGCATCCACATAGCGTGCTCTGTCTTGGGCTTGCTTTGGTCTTTGGTTTCCCGTTCGTTAACATCCGCGCCAGTTGACAGAAGAAGCTCAAGACCATCGGCGTCTCTGTCATCAATGGCCGCGATGAGCGCAGGGTATGTGACGATGGCGCCATGATCCAGAAGGAGCTTGGTGAGACCCGTATCAACTCTTGCTCGAGCTAGACAGGACTTGCCTCTATCATCGACAGAGTTGACATCTGCGCCCAGCTCAATCAGTGTTTCAACAGCCTTTCTCTGGAAGATGATTGTTCCGGCGTGTCTGAGGGCATAGTTCAGCGGCGTTCGACCTTCTCCATCACGAATTTCCATGTTGGCTCCTTTCTTGATAAAGTAAGGCAGAGCTTGACCAACTTGCCACCAGAAATCGCCTCTGACCAGGATGTGAAGAGCAGATTGGCTGACAAGATCCCATCCAGATTTTGATCGACTGAGCGAGTCAAGGTTGACGCCAATGGACTCAACCAGTACGCGCAAGACGTCCATATTCGGCTGTTCGCGTGAGCAAGCCGTAATCAGGAGCGGCTGAATCATGTAACCGCTACCCTTCTCATGTTCCAGGCACCATTCGGGATCCTCCAACTTTGAAATAATTTCCGGGGTCAGAAGGTCAGCAAGTTTTGAAGCGTCGCCACGAGAAACAATATCGTGTAGAATAGTTCTTTTGTCGTTGCTGAGCTCAAGACAGTTGATATTCTTCCGCTCCTGGGCTGCGAGTTCCGGGAACCTGAGATCCCAAAGCTTGTGTGAATGAACATCGCTGGGGTTTGGAAAACGGCCATAAATACGGGGCCTCTCTGGCGAAGCGCCATCACAGAGCTGCACTACTCTCGCAACAAAAGCAGCTGTTTCGGCTTCCTCAGACACGAAGTTTTGTTGAAATTGAAGTGATTTTCGAGCATGCAGGAGGCATTCAACGGTGAACTCCTTCTTGATGTGCGCCGCAACCTTGATTGCCTTGTCAATCGTCTCGGCTTTGCAACCTGCAGTATGAATGAGAAGCTCTAAAATTTCAAAAAGATACTCCGAGGAGGACTGAGAATAGGAATAGGGTTGAGACAGTTGCTGTTCAAAAACTGTGACATATCCGTGGTCCGGCTTGTCGAACTTGTTCATGGAGCCAATCGTGGACGAGGGACCACGTGGTGGTGCTACCTCAATGTGAGCACAGCCATCCCAGGCAGAACCTTCGAATGCGGCCGTCTCGATTTCTGCCCCTGCTTCTAACAGCAGTTTCACAGTCTCGATTGTACCGGAGGCGCAGGCGTAGTACAACGGTGTCCTGCCTCGGATGTCCTGCATGTTGACCATCAAGCTAAGGCAAACGCTATCGAGGGCGTCGATCAGCATCCCCGCAATATTTGTCTTCCTGTTGAGTATCGCAAGGTGCAGGGCGGTCAGACCATCATTCGTAGTCTTCCAGGGGTCCGCGCCTGCTTGCAGCAACCTCATGGTGTGGTATTGGGAGAACGTGGACGCCAAATGAAGAGCTGTAACTCCGTGTTGGTCTGAAAAGTTGACATCATTCTGGAGCTTGAGGACTCTCTCAAAGGTGGTGGCCCTTTCAACTGATGAGGTTTGCATTGTGTTGAAAGCCGCCTTCTTGAAACTTTCAGGCACCCAGCTACTGGCCACATGAAGGGGTGTCCAGCCGGCGTGGTTTGGTTGATCCAGACTCACTCCAAGACTGAGAATCTCCTCGAAGATACTAATGAAGGTGTTGCCATTTTGATTTTGACTCTGACAATGACGTGGCAATATAATATGCCAAAGAGTGTTGCCATCGTGGTCAGCTTGGTGCGGGCTAATGCCCTTTTCGATCAGATACCTGAAACATTCGATATCAAATCCACCGTGAGACAGATAACCCTGAAGCAGAGTCTTTCCTTCTGCGTTAGTCGTGTCGAGAACTGCACCCGCGTAAATCATCTTTTCGCAGGTATCCCTGCAACCTTGAACCCTGGAGAAGCCCGTCCTCGTAACCATGCTGTACAAAGGGGTCTGGCCTTCGTTGTCTCTCATATCTATCCGAGCACCGGCTCGGAGCAGCGCAGCAAGTAACAACTCGTCGAGTTCATCTCGATTCAAGGAGAATCCTCTACCCCCGAATGCGTTACTAGTGCATCCGAGATAATGCAGGGCTGTCTCTCCCTTCTTGTTGCGCGTGTTGATATCGGCGCCGGAGGCTATCAGGCGCTCAATCAACCCCACTATCTTTCCAGTGTCGGCCTTGATCCCAACAAGATAGTGAAAGATACCATCTCCCTCTTCGTTGATACCCAACACGTCGACGCCGAAGTCAACCAGTTGTATCGCCTTATCAAGCTCACCGTCGCTCAATGACAACAGGAGAGGAGTATAGCCGGCATATGTCTTCAGCGTTGTGTCTGCTTTGGCATCCTCCAGAAGCATCCGTATGGTGTCTCGGTCATTTGATAGATGTAGCAGTGTCTCCCCATGCCTCGTAGCTGCGTTTGGGTTTGCACCGGCTTCGAGAAGTACACCCACAGTCGAGGCATCGCGGGCAAAGTGCAGTGGCGTCTCGAGGTCAGAGTTCGTCTGATCCACATTGGCTCCTGCTCGAAGCAATGCATCAAAGCATGCCGCCGTCACTTTGGGGCCAGGATCAGCATAGATGCCGTACTCTCTCCGTAAGGTCAGCGCGTGAAGTGCAGATTCACCCACATCCGATGGTCGGGCTTCGGAGCCTGGCGTAGATCGCAGCACATTTGGGTCAGCGCCTGCTGCGAGGAGCCATTTGATGGACTCGAGATCGCGTTTCTCACAAGCGTTGTGAAGTAAGGTACCGACGAACCAGCCAGTCATCGTTGCGTTTATATCCACCAGAGAACTCTTCAGGATCTTGTCTGCGACTACAAACAGTTTTGACTGGACAGCGCGCTGAAATGCGTAAGTTGCCTTGCTAGACGTATCGAAGTATGATGCAAGGGCGATTGCAACATCGTCGTGGCCGCTCATACATGCAAAGTCGAAAGCTAATGAACCCTTCTGTTCGAAAGGTCCAAATGACCTGTCGCTCACTTTGGTGTGTGCTATATCCCGTACGAAAGGATCTGCCGCGGCATGAAGAAGCCTGATAACGATGGTCAGGTAATTGTGTCGGGATGCATGATGGAGGGCAGTGTATCCCTCACTATCGAACGCGTTCACGTCCTTGCCATATTCTAAGAGCAAATCAACAATCCTGTGATGGCCCAGCCGCGCGGCACGTGGCAACGCCCAGGAATGTGTCTTAGCATCATCGATGTCATTTATTTCCTCAGGTCTTCCAAGTAGAATCCGGGTGAAGTCCACAAGACCGAGATCAATAGCTGTCAGGAGAGGCGTTGCGTCGACATAATTCCTCCAAACCCGAGCCAGGGCGCCCCACTTCAACAGATTTTCTCCATCGAGAAGTCTGTTTAGAAGGCGCCTGATCGCTGTTTGGTCGAACCCTGCGGACTCTGCCTTCCTGACATGATGATGCCAGTTCAGTGCAGCGTACTTCAGGAATGGCGTAGCCAACCATCGTTTGTCGTGGTTCACAACTGCAGGGCACTCGTGAGCCGGTCTAAACGAGAGCTTCCTGGGTTGAAGCTGGACCTCATCCAAACACCTCGAAAGGAGATAGGAGAGACATTGAGCGGCGAGAAGATTGTGAGTAGCTCCATACTCGAGAATGGGAAAATTCCTTGTCTTGGGATCCGTGGTTGACCCTGTCAAAAATTCCGTCAAAGAGTGATGAACGACGCAAATCGTCTCGTTCGGGAGAATCTCCAAAAGCGGCCCGCATGCAGCACGAACAAGTTCCTTGGTGTCTTTGAGATTCAGCGATGTTTTTGAACCTTGCGTAGTGTTGATGATCTCTGCGATTTCGAGCAATCTGAGAGGTCTCCCAGCATGAGTAACCCATTGCATGACCAATATCTGAATATCCTGGGACATGCCGGACCTTGTGGCATGCTCTTGAAGAATACCACTGTACATGATATCGAGATTGGAGGGTAGGTTCTTTAGAACCTGTTGAATGCTGGCTTCGGGGCGAAGAAAGGAATCCATTGCTAGCTTGGCGTAGAGAAAAAGGCCATTGGCATTTCCTGGAACTGCTCTTTGGATAACAACGTGGTATTCCTCTGGTATCGATGATGTAGACAGCCTGTCTTGAACATAGACGGCGATATCTCTATCAACCTTGTCCTCTTCAAGTCTAATGCTGACAAACTTTGCGTTTCGTAGCGGCTTCTCAATGATGGCTAAAGGTCGGCTGGTCATGACGATTTTCAACTTGGAATAGCTCGATTGACCGAGTTCAGCCAAGGTTTTCAAGAAGCACTGTGTCTGTTCCGTTTGGTCCATTTCATCCAGTGCATCAACCACACAATAGGCCTTTGGGAGCTGAGCCAGCGCAATTCGTAGATAACTCCAGAAACCGTCAATTGAGACGCTGTCCAAGGAACGGTTTTGGTCCAGAATTCGCTTCATTCGCAATTGAAGCGGCGGACTGAACTTGAGAACTTGTGCTAACCAATCTCGAAGGGCAGCCACTGGCTCATGATTGGACTCGATAGTCTGCCGGAAGAAAAAGTACAGCACTGGAACGTCCTCTTGGAGTAGGCGATGAATCAGGGAAGCAGCAAGGACCGACTTTCCCGAGCCAGGTATGCCTACAGGCCACATTAATTAGCTTCTCCAATACCATCTCAAGAATCATGGCTTTCTCACTTACCTCGGATCCAGAGCAGGCCGTTATCACCGCCATCATGCCACGTGTGATAGCGAAGCGAGGACAAGAGCCAGTCGCCGGTGCCATCGAGATGAAAAGAGAGATGTTTCTTGTATTCGCTGCTGTCGTCGTCGTAGCCTGTTGGTTGTAGCCATTCTCGAATCTTTGCAAGAGTTTCTGGCGTTTGAGGGAGGATGTTGTCTTCGTTGTAATCGCGCACATCATCATGAGTAAGGATGACTGGGTCGTCTTTGGCGAATAAACTGCCTGACTTTTTTCCACGAGCAGGGGTCCCGAATAGACCGCCGAAGATACCTGACGACATCGTTCAGATCGTTCAGATGGTCCGGATCTCCTGAATCAAAATCAATAGGCCACACTCTATAAAAGAAAGACGGATAGTGGTCGAGTATCTTGATGCACAACCTTGACTTTGCAGAGTTCTCCAAGCGGAGTCGGAATTAGGCAGCAGAGCGTGCGGCGCAGGCGCTTGCCCTCCGGATCCAAAGAGCCATATACAGGGGTTCTCGCTACGCTTGCCGCTTATAGCAAGCTTCTAATTAGCCAAGGGATGTGGACTCAGAACAGCCAAAGGTCATAAAATGGAACGTTTGACCACCTGCAATTCCTAATGATTGCTTGATTTTATATTATGAAGGTGTTTGATGACTGGTTTTTCGAGCATAGGGCTAGAAACCAATTCCCCTCTCACCGAGCGAACATCTTTTGCGTCTTCATAGTATGTGAATTGATGGATCCTCTAGGGGATGCACAAAATCGAACGTTGGTGACGGAGGCTAATAAGCCTAGTCTTGCGCAAGTCTTTCTTCCCTCACATTCTTAAACTGCATACGTGTCATATTTAGCATCCTGGTGGTGCTGCGCGAGCATGCTCTTGGTAATAACTTATTCTAATTTCTCAGCTTCTGTTTGTGGACTCGCGTGACATGTGGTCTGGTGGAATCTCTCGTTCTCGCATGCTGTGCTATTGCGGAAATCGTGGGCGATGCATTCTGATATTCTCGACGCCTTCCCTCAAGGTCTTTGGAGATTTCGTGATTCTCGCCGTGATTCAGAGCTTAGGTCGACCATTTGACTTATATAGAGGTGTACTAGGTAGCTTACAGTAATAAAGGTCTTATCTTTTATTTTCTAAGTACCTAGGCTTAATCTACTGTAATTTTCAAAAGGAGTGTGTAAGTATACTCAGATAAGCTGAGCATATGAAGCAAGAGAAAAGAACCACCTCCCGTCCCCTCATAAAAAAGGACAAATTACAGGATAAGAGACGTATAAACCCGCGCAATCCTAGGCGATAGGCCGCATCGTAACCTGGTAGAACAGGTGAAGCACTCGCAATAGGATATCTGTGTAAGGCTTAGGGAGGGCGTGATAGCGCGATGAGTCTTGAAGTCACGTCTGATGTTCACAGAACGAGCTTTTAGTCGAGCTTGAATTCGTCAACGCTGGGAATGTCTTCGGCCGATGCACCAGTCTTGATAAGCGAGACAAGCTCGTCGGTGGCCTGGCCAGCCTCGGCAATGGCGGTGTAGTTGTACTGGGTGCCGTCGGCGAGGTACAGGACGTCCGGCTGGGCGCAGCCTTCAGTCTCCTCGCCATCGCGGGCCTCCAGTGTCGCACCGCGGATCATCTTCTTGTTGTTAAAGCCGTAGCCGATCCCGCCATAGGGGCCGTTGCTCAGGCAAATGTAGTCGCGGCCACCGCTGTCCTGCTGCGAGCGGATGGAGCCGCAGTTGGGACCGGCGTGGCCACGGCACTGGAGATTCCAGTTGGCCGGGATGGCCCTGAACGAGGCACTGGCGAAGTAGGTACCCGAGTTGACGCTGCAACAAGTGTTGGGATTCCATCCCCTGCAGATGAATCCGCCGCCGCTGGTGCTACAGCCGCCCGCAAACTCGAGGTGCAGGTCGACGGCCGAGGCGGCGGTTGCGAAGAGGCCTGACACAAGGCTGACAATGGCGAAGAACTTCATTTTGCTTGGCAAAGATGGAGAAATGGATCTCTAAAGTGAAGCTGTGCAAATTGCTTGATGCGGGATTGGGCTTTCTGCTGGCAGGCCGAAGATATTGAGGTGGATGGAGATGGAGTCAAGAGTTTCCACAGACAGAGACAGGAGCGAGCCTTTTATACATTTCTGGGAAACTTCCATCACAGAGTCTTGGACATCTGGTAGTCGCATCTCGTCCGCTCGCCCGTCTCGTCTGCTGCTACTATCCTCTGCTGGCTTGTCGTGTAAGTCATTGTTTCCGAAGCTTCAGGGGTTGAAAGCGAGGGTGGATGTGTGTACCAGTTTCCGTTGAATGTGTAAAATGATGCATAATGTTACAATAACATAAGCACGATGTTACAATAACATAAGCACGATGTTGCAATACCATAAGCATGACCTTACAATGCGTTCCTTGGCTAAGGTCGCTGAGGCCGATTGCATTGATCATCTCTCGGTGTAAGTTGACAACATAAAGCTATCGTGGGCGCGGCTCTTGGCGCAGGATTATACTGCAGCTGACGCCTCGGACTCAGGCACCTCGGACTCAGGCACCTCGGACTTAGGCACTCAGACCACACCACCCTCTCAGTTGAGAACAGCTTATGCCTTCCTCGGATCGCTTAGGCTGCTTACATTCGAATTCATTATCCCATGGAGTGCCAACTGACTACAGTACATCTTCGTGAGGGGTAGCAGCAACTCAGGGGTCAATCAAGGCTTTTTTGACCAACCAAAAAGCCTAGTTTATCAGTAGCACCTAGGTGTATCTAGCCTAGCGCTGGATAGGGTTACTTGGAGAGAGGGGGGACTTTGAATTCTCTTTCATACTATTCTCAGTAATAGAGAGATTCATAATTTATTTGAATATTTACTTTTTACTACCTATAATAATAACTACTGGTTCGTCTTTAGCGAACAAACTTCCCAATCTTTCCTCACAAGCAGGGGTCTCGAAAAGACTGCCGAAGATACTTAATAGCATAATCAAATGTTCCTAACTCAAACACCCAAGTATTCAAAATCTAGAGCTGAAAAGCGAGTGGCGGTCGAGGATCTCTACACTCTATGTGTAACCTTGACTTTGCAGGTTTCTCCAAGCGGAGTCAGATGGCATTTAGGCAGCTGAGCGTGCGGCGCAGACGCTCGTCCTCCAGTCGACCCAAAGACCCATTTGCAGGGGTTCTCGCAGCGGCTCGCCTACGCCCGTTTACCCGTTGCCCGAAACCCGCCTTTAGGTAAGGGATCGGCCACACCACTTTGTCCTACAAGCCGGGCGCGCCCGGCGTTCGTAGCTAGATTAATCAAGCCACTTCACGCACTTTCCAATTGCGGCAAGCTTCTGACCAGGGGGGTTGGCCTCAGAACCCTTTGGCCAGCTGCGATTCATAATGATTGCATAAATCTACTCGTTGGGATAGAGATCGAGAGTCTGTTGATGGAACAGGCGTTGGCTCACCACACTCAAGTCTAATTCTTCCTCTACCTCGAAATTGGAAAGAAGCTTGTTAAGGCGTGATTGATCTAGCTATCCCAGTTGTCACACGTCCTGTGCTATACTTGAAGGAATAAAATCAACCTGCTCCCAGTTTAGTAAGAAAAGATTGAAGTGGCGAATTATGGTCTGAGTGAACAACATGTTCTCTCCGGTTACTGCAAGTTCCATTGGTGGAATGCGGTGGATGTTGTAGTCCCATATGCTTGGCCCGAATGAGTGAGAAATTATCGTCCTCAATACTCCTGGGTCTAGACCTCGTTGGAGCTTCCTCTGCAACAGCCTCTTCAATTACAACGAGCGTCCATACTTACGCCCTCTCTCCGTGCGTGGTTGAGCCGTTGTGCGGAGTCTTTCGTATGGAAAGCATTAGGAAGGATACAGTCATGTTTGGCAGTACCACACCGGAGAAAAGTAGTAAATCGTGTGTGTCATACCGTCATGTGATTGCGGGCCACGGGTTGAAGGCAACGAGTGCCGGAAGCGCGAAGTGCCGATAGTGTTCCGGTCGGGCCGCACATCAGCTTCTAAGCGTGAAGCTAAACCCCTATGTCACACCAAACTGCGATGACATGCTGAACCTCGCTTTCGGATTCTGATAGCCAATCCTGATACAACCAACCGGTTTATTCAAATCGAAGAACATCTTGATCGCCCACTCATTTGACTTGCCCACAATCATTCTCGCCACATCGCCTTTCGGTGTTTTCGTTGTTTGTACTGACTCTCGATTTGCCGGGCCATCCGTTGCCTTCGTCTGCAATGAATCCACATACTCAAGTAGTTATAAAAGCTCTCCAGAGTACCCCAGAATCCATATGAAGAAGGACAGAAGAAGCATTCACGTGCGACTATCCTGGTAAAAAGAAAAAAAAAACCACATAATGACCAACATCTTGTTTCAATCATGGCTTTGAACAACCAAGCTATCACCCTAGAGGAGCATGTCATTTTCCCTTCGTTCGGCGATAACTACCCATTTTACAAGAACATATGGGAGATCTATCCCGATCAACAGGCAAGAGCATGGGACCTTGGCTCTCTACGTCTTTCCGATATGAAAGCCGGCGGGATTGCTTTCCAAATTCTATCTCACCTCCCCGGAGTAGCCACGAACCGGCCAGATTTGTGCCGACGCGCGAATGATGAGATGGCAAAGGCCATTCACCAGACTCCTGATCGTTTCGCCGGCTTTGCTGCCCTCCCGATGGGCTTTCCCGACGATGCTGTCACGGAACTCCGACGTGCCGTCAATGATTTGGGGTTTGTGGGCGCGATGGTCGACAATCACCTGGAAGACATGACGCACTATGACGATAGTCGTTTCTGGCCCATTTTCGGAGCCGCGGAAGAGCTGGGCGTCCCAATTTACCTTCATCCTTCACCTCCAAATCCCGAAGTGTTCAAATCGCGTTATCGCGGTCATTACTCCACCATGGCGGAAATAGGTCTCGGCACGGCTTCATGGGGCTGGCATGAAGACGTGGGCTTGCACATTCTGAAGCTCTACCTTGCTGGGGTGTTTGAAAGATTTCCTAAGCTAAAGATCATAATCGGCCACATGGGAGAGCTTTTGCCCATGATGCTTTCCCGAGTTGAGAGTATGCCAGCCTTTCAAGCCATGGCCGACAAGGGATCGAAGTCCATCCAGGATGTGTGGCATGACAACATATGGATCACGACGAGCGGCATTTTCTGTGTCGACACATTCAAAATGCTCAGGCATGTGACGGGGATAGAACATATCCTGTTCAGTGTCGATTATCCGTTCGAATCCAGCAGTAGCGGCAAAAGGTTTCTCACCGAACTTCTCACAACGAACACTTTGACAGAGGATGAGGTGGATATGATATCGCGAACGAATGCTATACGTCTCTTGGGTCTGCCGGAGTCAGCCGGTACTGATCAGCAGGACTAGACGTATTAGAGTATCCCGCCACCTGATACTATACAGGTTCACTGCGCATCACTAGTCTGGCTTACTGCTCCTCGTCACTTTCATTCTAGACTTAGATGGAATGGTATTTTCATAGAGAAATTGATTTATTGCAGCTATTATTAAACTCCTACCGCAATAGCGGGAACACAAGACTCTAAACCAGAACGCATCTCCTGCTCAGTAACGTCCGCATCTTTCTGCTCGGACTTGGTCAGATTGGCTCCACGGACCTCAGCCTGCCCCACGATATGCTGACACTGAGCTTCGGCGTCCACCACGTGAACTAAGACACCCGTTGGCAAGGGATCAGCCTTACCCAGATAGAAGCTGAGGTCCGATGATCTTTCTGCAATGGTGGTCATTGTCTTTGAGTACTCCCTTTCATCAATGCCTATGGGGTCCAACTCGGGTTTCTCGATCCAGGAGAATCCATTGCCCCAGTATGCATAGCGGTTCCCATCAAAGCGCCATTGGTAATCCTCCCAGCGGTCTTCGGCAAGTGACTGCATGTAGTGGAGTGAGCTACCGCACCACAGCGCGCTCACCTTTCCGTTGACATCTTTCTTAACTGTGCGGGGCCAATTAGCTCAACGCTCTCATTAGCTCTCCCCTCACCGGATGAACTCACACCAACTCCGACACGTTCCTGTCCAGACTGCCTGACGCATGAACTCTTGTGTGTGGTTGTCAAAGTCTGTTTGAGCCTCGATGCGTACGTCAAAAGACTTGATGCGTTGTCGAATCATCTTGGTGAGAATGCGAACGAAGTAGTCGCCCGTAGCTTCGATTGGGCCTGGTCCCAACAAGTCAACGCCAGCCAGGTCCGAACATGTGAAGGTTTTGTACTCACCCATGAGACTGCCATTGGATATGGGCGTATTGGGACCCAGGAATATCATGTAGTTGGGAAATCCAGAAACGCCCGTCCCGCAGTAAGAAGTGGGACTCTCAGACCAGACCTCCTGCAAGTTCTTGCCATCTCTACCGATGATCGGGAAGCGCGGTCTGAAGGTTGTGTTGAAGCCGGTGGCTGCAATGAGAACATCCACAGGATACTCAACTCCACCGGCGACTATGCCAGTAGCAGTGATCTTCTCAATACTCTCGAAGACGGGTTCAACGTTTGACTCTTGGAGTGTCAGAAGGTACTGCTCTCCAGGATTAATCCGTCGACAGCCCGCCTCGAACTTGGGAATCAGCCGCTCTTGGAGAGCCACATCGCGGATCAGAGATCTCATGCGGCTTTCAAATCGTTCCCGGAGGTCTCTCTGCTGCGGGCTAGCTTTGAAGAAGGCGTCGAACATGCCATTGAACTGCGCCTCCAACCGCTTCCGATCTTCAAGGTATTCGGCATCGTTTTCTCGGAATCTGGTCTTCTCCCCATCGTCATAAGAGTAGCTTGGCCGGTCAGCCTCCGGTAGAGCGACAGGAGGTGAAATCCAGGACGGTGTGCGGATGAAGAGGGTGACCTTCGTCGCCGTCGGCTGTATCTGAGGTAATAGCTGAACGGCACTGGCCCCAGCACCGATGACGCCAATCCTTTTACCCCTGAGATCCACTGATGAGTCCCAATCGGCGGTGTGAAGAATGGGGCCAGCGAAGGTGTTGATGCCGGTGATGTTTGGCATTTGAAGATTGTTGAGGATACCACCGGCGTTGAATAGGACCTCCGCCTCATAGGTGGAACCATTCTCGACTCTGACAGTCCATGTGCTAGTGTCCTCGGACCATTGGGCGTTGGTGACTTTGGTGCTGAACTTGATGAACCTTTTCAGGTCAAAATGCGTAGCAACACCGTCAAGGTAAGCTTTGATCTCTTGGGACGATGCGTAGCTAGACAAACGTTTCTCAGCATGAAGACTTCGTTTCACTGGTGAGGCATATTCATACAATTTTGACCAGTCGGGGTTGGGTGCGAAGCTGTACTGATAGCAGTGGCTAGGAACATCACACGCGCATCCTGGTTGATGATGAGTAAGATCAAGAACAGTACTGCTTAAAATACGACTTACCGGGATATCTATTTTCGAACCAAGTTCCCCCGAGTTCTGGGGACTTTTCGAGTATTTGGAAATCAACGTATTCTCCAAGGTACTTTCGCAACTTGTAGGCTAGTATCCCCTGGCGTTAGTAAAAGAGAAGAACTTTGATAAATATTGTATTACCCATCAAAATCCCTGATACTCTATGTAGATGGTGTCAGTTACAACGTGACGTGACCCCAGCATTATTAGCAGAACTTACCCCGCGCCAATGATCACGGCACGTATGCGCCGATACGGGACTTTCCTGCGCTCTTGCGGCAGGCCATGAGATCTGCCTCCATGTTGGGTGTTACTGTTCATGATGTCTAGGTGTTTGGCTTCCGTGGGGATTTGAGTGCGGCTGAGAAGGTTACGTTCTTCTCTGCTTTTCTGATGAGGCTTTGAATTTGGTCTGCTCTCTATGGTCATCGGATTGAGAACGACGACTTGGCTCGGTGTTCATCGTCTATCTTTCACGTGCATGGCATTCTCAACTTTGTTCTCTTATCTTACTCTTGATTGCAGCCCTCCGAGTGGACAGGACTTATCTCCCGTAAGTGGGGACGGGGCGGCGTAGGCCGGAGGCGGACCGGGTGGATCCCGGCCGTGCGATAAGCCCTGGCCAACAGGACCTCTTCGCGGCATCGCCGACATCGATACTTTGAGGCCAGCGGCGCAGAGCAGCGTCAACAAGTCTCGGTCTGCTCAAACGATAAGCCAGTCCTTGTTGGAAAAAACTAAGTTGCTCTCGACGGTGCCATGCACCCGGCATACCAATAGGGTGGTCAAGTATTTCTAATATGCTTTTTTGAACTCAGATACTTCTAGTCTAGAGTCAAGCGGTCGTCATGAACCGCGGAATCTATATGCATGCTAAGTCGACGTTACAACTTAGACTGCTCTACGGGTGTCAACTTTCGCAAAGGCGGGCCGCCGCGACTACCATCTCCCAGCTTCAACTCATCCTGACCTTCGGACGCGCGCAACCTCCACTTGTGTCGAAGCTCTTGTGGTGCCTTCTCCTCAAAGCAGTCCGAAATGTACTTGCCCAAAACAGGCAAAAACTTGAAAGCGCTGAGCGTGACACGCGGTTAGCTATTGTCACCAATGGTATTATGTGGGATCACTTACTGTCCTGCTCCTCCAGTAGCGAAGAAGACTCCCTCAATAGACGGGTGATAATCCATGATGAAATCTCCCTCAGGAGTGTCGGAGTACCAGCACAAGCGCCGATTGACCCAAGGCCGTGACGCAAACTCGGGCAACAGCTGCTTTACACCTTCCCTCAGACCTTCATCCGCGTCATCGGGGAGATATCCCGTCGCCGCATTACTGCCATCTCTCTTCGGCGTAGAGATGACCCTCTGAGAACCATCATCGCCAACAGAAACCTCAGTAGCATACCCGTACCCATGACGGGCGAGCTTCAGGATGGGGTTCTTCCCCTTCGTAGGCGGGAAGATGAAGACGCCCGACTCAAAGTTGATCATGACGGGCATATCCTTCAACCTCTCAGCCTCTTCCTCCGTAAGCTGGATGAACCCAACAGGCTGTCCAGACGCAGAGCTGGCGTGAGAAATGGGAATGATGCGATTCGTCCACGCTCCCATCGCCAAGATAACCTTCTCCCCGAGAACCGGCGGGCCCTCAAGAACATTCACCCCAACAACTCTCCCCACCTCAAACTTGAGCGACTTCACTGTCCCCCGTGCTCCCGCGACGAACTGCACTCCAAGCTGGCTACACTCCCCCGCCAACTGCGCAATAGCACCCTTCGCATCAGCCCACCCGCCGCGACGGTTAATACACGCCTGCAGCCCCTCAAAGTCCGCCTTCGCACTCGGATAGTCCTTCAGCACGTCGTTCGCGTCCGCGTAGTTAGTCAGCTCCACGCCGCTCTTCGCCGCGACCTCGCGCGACGCGTTCAGCCACCCGTTGCCCTTGCGGTCCGCGAGCATCACGAACCCGGACTCGTGGTAGTGATCCGAGTACTGCGCGTTCCAGCCCGCGTACGCCTCGCGCGCCATCTGGGAGTAGACGGGGTCGGCGTAGTCGACGCGGATGATGCGCGAGATGTCGACGCTGCTGCCGTCGGGGACGGGGGGCAGGAAGCGGTCGAGGACGGTGATGTGGAGGTAGCCGCGCTTTCGCAGCTCGAGGGCCGTGGAGAGGCCGAAGACGCCGGCGCCGACGATGACGATGGGCGCGTCTTTGGGGGTTCGTTTGGACAGCATCTTGGATGGGTAGTTGTGCTCGTCTGGCGGTTTATTGAGGCGACGGAGAGTGAGAGAAGATGGTGTGGTGTCGAGTTGAGGGAGAGCAGCGCAGAGACAGCTACACGCTGCTGATATTGATCCAGCTGAGGTCCGTGAGCAGGCGGTGAACGTCACACATCAGCTGTTCTTGCGCCGTCATGGAAATCACGAGAATTCCAAGATAGATTGACATGTCCACCGGCTTCGGCGTCGTGTTACTGCATTGTCCAATCGTTTTCTCGTCGATGTCGAGGGCGGACTGTCGCTGGCGTCAAAGTGGGTACGGAACACGGTCCGTACCCACTTACGGGGACCTGCGGACGGGCCACCCCCCGGCAGGGGTCCGGCATGCACGCCGAGACCACCTCGAGCTTCTTATCTCGGAGCCTGTTAGCTTGCAGGACTGGTATATAGCGAGATTCGCATGAAAATGTCGTTTGAAATAGTTTGCTAGCTTGGCCCGTAATAACACACCCTGATCTCATCGCGTAACCGGCTCCATTCATTGCTCAATCCTTGCTCACCTCGTGAACATTTGTCTTAGGCTTTGGTAGCAACGAACAACACCAAGATGAACTGGCTCGGTCTAGGAAAGTCCACCGACACCCCCTCCTCAACTCCTTCAGAACCCCAGTCCGTCCGAGCCCTCCCCGCATCATGGTACCGCTCGCCGGGCATGTACGAGCTAGAGCGCCGCGCCATCTTCTCGAAGCGGTGGCTGCTCGTCTCGCACAAGGCGCGCTTTGTCGAGGCCGGTGACTTTGTGCAAATCACGGAGGCGGGGTTCAACTTCTTCCTCGTCAAGGACCGTAAGGGCGAGATCCGCGGACATCACAACATCTGCCGGCACCGTGCGTATCCGCTTGTGGAGACGGACAGCGGGCACATGAGCGTGCTTGCTTGCAAGTATCATGGTATGTGCGGCCTGTTGAGCACGGGGTCTGATGAATGTGCTAATACGAGGCGCTTCTAAGCTTGGTCGTACGGGTTCGACGGCAAGTTGGCCAAGGCGCCAAAGTACCAGGAGCTCCCGTCCTTCGATAAGACGCAGAACAGTCTGTTCAAGGTCCACGTCCACGTAGACCAGCTGGGCTTCGTCTGGGTTAACCTGGATGCGTCGGAGAAGCCTGGTGTCTCGTGGGAAGAGGTCTTTGCGCAGGTTGACGAACAGCCGCGGCTGCAGAACTTCAAGATGGATGATTACGTGTTTGATCATGCTTGGGAGATGCTTGGTGATTACAACTGGAAGACTTTGGCCGACAATTACAACGAGGTATGTGCGTCTATGCATAACGACGCCAACGACGAGTCTGACAAGAACAATGCAGTGTTACCACTGTCCAACAGGGCACCCTGCCGTTGCCAGCACCACAGACCTGACCAAGTACTGGGTCGAGACGAGGGGCAACTGGATCCAGCACTGGAACGTGGACAAGCCGGATGTCCAGGGCTTAGGCATCTACAGTACATTCTACTACCCCAACGCGTCCATGACTGTCACGTAAGCTCGTACATCCCCAATCACTGACACTCAAACACTAACACCATCACCTTCCTACACCAGACCAGATTTCATGTACATCATGCGCTGCGTCCCCGTCTCCGCCACCCAGACGAAGATGGAGTACGAGGTGTACCGCAACAAGAACTCGACGGAGGAAGAGTTCACCAGCATCTCCGAGTTCTTCAAGCAGGTTCTCCGCGAGGACAAGGACCTCTGCAACGGCGCGCAGAGGAACCTGAACGCGGGCATCTTTGTGAACGGGGAGCTTCACCCGCGGGTGGAGAAGGGGCCGCTGTTCTTCCAGCAAATTACCCGAGATCTCGTGGTTAGTCATAGGCAAAAGGAGGTGAATGACGGCGGTGAGATCTGGCCCGCTACGCCTCGGCACGAGGTCTCGAAGAAGACGGACGAGGATGTGTCTTTTTGCAAGGGGCTTGATTGTATTGCTAGTCCTGAGCGGATGGAAGGGTTGGCTTGGTGATTGAACACATGCGGCACATTATCTTCTGAACTTCAAGATTGTGAATAACCTGCGTATACCAAGAATGAATTTGCATAGCTATGTCCCTAGATTCAACCAATCGTCAATCGCCCGTCCGTAGTCGTTCCCATCAAAGAACCTATTCGCCTGGTCTCCAAACGGCCCAACCCCTTCGAAGAAGATATCCTCAAACGACGGCCCGCCCGTCAAGTCACCCACCTGCGCATCGAGGCCCGCATTCTGCGGCAGATCCACAGGCGGCGGATCTTCGTTGGGCGGCCAGACTGCCGCCTCGTTCGGCATGGCCTTGTGCCCTGATATGCCCGCCGACCCCACGAGGTCGAACTCGGCAGCCCGGTGCTCGGCGGACAGCTCTGCAACGTCAGCCTTGAGCGTCGGCCCGAACATGGACTGGTCCCAGCCGGCGTCGGGGCGGACTGCCTTGTCGTAGATGAGCAGGTCCCATAGAAGTTGACTGTTGATTGAGAAAGACCGGGTCTGAGAGGATCCATCTTGCTGAGCGGGCGACGGTCTCAAGACGATGCTGTCCTGGAGCCTCCTCAGATTATTCGCCTACTCCGCGTCAGCTTGCACACCTCACAGCATCAGCTCACTCACCATGTTGGCAACACAAGGCCATACAGCCCCCATCCTCCTCAAAAATCTCATACACTTCTCAAACCCCGTCTGCGCCTTCCCCCTCAGCAGGTCATCCTGCACAAAGCTATGCTGCAGATGGATCGTCGCCACAATCACCACACAATGTGCCAGCACAGGATCCGACACCTGCACGCCCTTCTTCTCCAGCACATCCACAAAGTAAATCACCCACCCGGCGTTGCGGTTGATCGCCTCGAAGGACTGCTGCATGAAGTACACGGGGATCGTCTGCCGGAAGCTGCGCAGGCGCATGGACAGCAGGAAGGGGTGGTTGAGCAGGCACGGGATCGTCTCGTGCACGAACTGGATGAAGAGGAAGGGCATCCACCAGTGGCGCTGCGCCTGGATCGCCTCCGGGGCGTAGTCGCCGATGCGGTTGCATGCGAAGCGGTACTTGGCCGACGCGCGGCAGTCGATGTCGTGGTGGGACTGCATGACGGTGGAGTAGTCGGAGCGCGAGTCCCACGGTGGCGGGGCGTCGGGGGACACGCGCGAGGCGGCGTAGGCGCGGGCGAGGCGCCAGGTGACGCTGAAGTGGGCGGCGAGGGTGGAGATGTTGTTGTCTGGGGCGGCGTCGTCGAGGTGGGAGAGGGAGGGGGAGGTGCAGGGGGCCAGGCTGAGGGTGTAGCTTGTGTTGTGGAGGGAGGCGGTGGCGGGGACGATGCAGCCTTGCAGGTTCTGGAGGGCGGCGATGCCACGGAGGCAGAGGTTGAGTTCGTGGGCGGTGCGCTGGTTGTGGGAGGGCGGGATGGAGTGGGAGAGGTGGGTTGCGATGCTTAGGTTGAGGCCTGATTGTGTGACGTTGCCGGCTGCGAAGGTGTTAGTACGGAGATGTGGATGAAAGGATGGCGGGGTTGAGTACTCGCGAAGTCGAACATGCTGAGTATACATAGTGATTGTAAGGTTGAGAGCTCAACCCGTCCTTCCGTGACGCGCTCCATTACCATGCGCCTCGCGGACCTTGCCTTGGTGTTTAGCTGCTGTTCGGCATCTGCAGTCAGTGACCCTGGAGGAAACCTAAGCACCAATGCCTGTAATGAGAGGATCAGCTCCGGATCTCGAGTCGTAAGTGAAGTCAAGAAGCTCTCTTCGTGGAAGAGCGTGATGGGTTGGCTGTGACACCATGTTAGGTACAAGCGACCAATTTCATTGAGATGGGTTTCTGTCACAACAGATATGCTGCTGTTCGGGGAAGGTCAGCGAAGCATTCATGTCACTGCGAATAATGAGCTGAAAATACCTGGGGCTCTCATTTGGTGCAGGACGGCTTTCATGCCTGGTAACAGCGACTTCCGTCACTGTACTAGGCTTTGGTGATGGGATGGGGTTTGAGGACGATGGACGCCGAGGTTGAGGGTCAGGACTGTGAGTGAGTCAATACCGGATGGAAGGTGGAACGAGACCAAAGTATCTGACCTAAGATGTTGAATCAATCGATCCATCTTGTCTTCAAGGCTGTTCATTCGATGTTCCTGTGACGTAAAAGCTCAGCTTCACTTCTTCAATCCTGCCAAGCCAACCCTGGTAGTGTACATACCATCTCCCTATTGTGCTTCGTCTGATGCGTATCGACAACTTCGGCGGATGAATTATACACGCATTGCTGGCCAAGTCTCTCGCAATATGAGCATATTGGCCTTTCCCCAGGACATTTCGACTTCTTTTTGCTAGTGCTCTATCGTCAGATCCGCGGCTATGAGGTGCGGGGAGAGTGGCGGGTTGTCCGCACCGGCACGGCTCGCAGGCCTGACGCGCCCGCTTAGCATAGCGAGCTTCGTCCATGGCAGTCGTTGAATGTGATGATTGAGGATGTATCTGTATCAAATTAGATCTAACACTAAAACACACATGCAGCTGACTCACACAGGCTGCAAGCTATGGCTCTTGATTGATGCTGAGGGCGACTGTCATTGTGCCTCACGGCTCAGGCGGGCCAACGGGCATATAATGGCTCTTAGTGCAAGACACCGGATCAAGTATGCTTTCTCTTAATCAGATAAGTCGTTTTGTGTCTTATCAGTACAGCAACTTTCGCGGCCCTCCTGTTGGAGATTGGGAAGGATGTCAGTGTCTGGGGTTGGCTTGGGTCGGTGTCCCCGCAGTTTGCTGAAAAGATAAACGGCGGCCCGGGTGACGCATCCGCGCCGTGGGGAAGACCCACCACTGGAGATAAGGCCTGGGCATTGGAGACTCCCTTTCATTCTCACTAGGTATTTTGCGACTACTCACCAACGGCCGCACAGAATAAATAAGGTTAACGAAGTTAACGTGTAGTAAGTCGAGCTTGAGAAATAATGGTGAGAATGGGTCCTAAAATCAAGGCGAGACCAGTGGGCCTCCCAGGTGCCAGCTGTCAGCCACTGAGTACCACTACCAGAGCTGCCTCGCGTGGCTTCGAACCTTCCACTGTGTTTGGCCTCATCAACGACGCTTCTCAACTCTGAATGGATATCTTGACGCCACCGCAGCAGGCATCCGTTTTGTCTTTATAACCTATTGCTCTGTCACAGAATATCAACAAGAACCCAAGGGGCCGTGGCTCAACGGTAAAGCGCTCCCCCTCCAGAGTCTCAGTCCCCGGACACACTGAAGGTAAGTATCAAGAGACCCTGCCGGGGGAGAGATGGCGTGTTCGATTCACCCCGGCTCCATCACTTTTGTAACCATTAGTCGATGATGTGCTTTCGGCGCCGGGCCGAGGCCCACTCGGCACCCGCTCGGACGGGCCGCTCCGACTCGATCGGGGACTGATACTACCTGGTGTCTCCATTCGCGGGATTGAGGACACCGGGGCCCGTCGAAAGGTAGCTCCGGTTATTCAGTTGATCATAGCCAAGGTGCGGACTTCCGCTGGGCTGAGTGAGCGCTTCCAATGCTCTCGTATCCTATGATAAGTCAGCTCACAGACTCCTGGAACATGAAGCTTTCAAAAATACTTACCTCAATATGGTTCATCTAATCTTTAATCCATCCCAAGCACAGCAACAATAATTGAGCTTTCTCGCCCAAGAACTGAAAATGACATCATGCGCGTTGGACCCCTTTCACCTCACCTCGCATTTGGAGAACTGCAGCAAACGACTGAACTTGGTGCTCCGGCAGACGGAGGCGGACAGGGATGCCCCGCCGTCTCAGTCAGCTCTTCAGCGGTCGTCAGCCAATCAGCAGCCACTGAAAGGGCGCAGCTCACGCGAGAGACAGGCACCCCGCAGTCCCGAGACCGGCGCCCCTCCAAAATAATTCGGGCGGTGCGGGACACTTTCCTGTGCTGCCCTGCACACGAATGACTCCCTACCTACTAAAATTTCGGTGTGTCACGCAACGAGGAGCTCCACCCATCTCTCCACGATTCAAGCATCTTTACCGTCGAGACGCCTCCTCAGAGTCACTCAATTGACTTTCTGCACCTCCGCTGACGCCCGCGATACCCTTCGAATCCCCTCCAAACCCCTCGAACAGACACAATCACCACCATGGCCGCCTTCCCGCCCCCTCCGGTCAACACCATTGACTGGTCCAACGTCGGCTTCAAGGTCCGCGAAGGTGAATACCCCTCCTTACCGGTCCACCCCCCTCCTAGATGACCTCAGCTAACCTCTCTTACCCTCCAGTCAACGGCCACATCGAGTCCACCTACTCCGTCTCGACCGGCCAATGGACCCCCCTCAAGTTCGTCGCGGACCCCTTCATGCGCATCCACGGCATGGCCCCGGCCCTCAACTACGGCCAGCAAGCCTACGAGGGCCTCAAGGCCTTCCGCGCGCCCGGTGACGCCACAATCAACGTCTTCCGCCCGGACAAGAACGCCCTGCGCCTGCAGCACTCCGCCGACGTCGTCTCCATGCCGCGCGTCCCCGAGGCCCTCTTCCTCGACGCCGTCAAGGCCGCCGTCTCCCTCAACGCCGGCTACGTCCCGCCCCACGAGACCGGCGCCGCCATGTACATCCGGCCCCAGCTCTACGGCTCCTCCGCCCAGCTCGGCCTCAACCCGCCCGAGGAGTACATCTTCGCCGTCTTCGTGATCCCCACGGGCGTCTACCACGGCACCCACCCCGTCAACGCGCTCATCCTCGACGACTTTGACCGCGCCGCGCCGAACGGCACCGGACATGCCAAGGTCGGCGGCAACTACGCGCCCGTGCTGCGCTTCAGCGACCGCGCGCGCAATGAGGGCTACGGTATCACGCTGCACCTGGATAGCGTGAAGCACGAGGAGATTGACGAGTTCAGCACGAGCGGCTTCATCGGTGTCAAGAAGGATGGCGAGGATGTTACGCTTGTTGTGCCGGATTCCAAGTGCGTCATTGACAGTGTGACGAGCGACAGCATCCAGCACATTGCCCGCAGCTTCGGCTGGAAGGTTGAGAAGCGCGTCGTAAGTCTTTACCTTTTGCGACTTTATACATGCCCATTATAGGAGCGCTGAGCTAACCAATGACTTTTCACGCATCACAGATCAAGTACAGCGAGCTCCCCACCTTCTCCGAAGTCATGGCCGCCGGCACCGCCGCCGCCCTGGTGCCGATCCGCTCCATCACGCGCCGCGTGGACCCGTCCTCGGCGCAGGCCCTCGCGGGCAAGCAGCACGAGCGCGTCAGCAGCGCCAATGCGGGCGAGGAGACGGTGACGTACATCCCCGCGAGCCAGGAGGACGCGGGCGAGACCTGCCTCAAGCTGTTGTCGACGCTCAAGGGCATCCAGCTGGGCAAGCTCAAGGACGAGTTCGGCTGGAACGTGGCCGTCAGCCAGGCGGACGGCACGGCGGTCGTGGGGGAGCAGAAGACCAACGGCTCGGCGACGACCGTTGACCAGATGGACTAAAGAAGTGTGTGTCTCTGGTTAGGTGAGAAGGGAGGGAGTTTGAGTCCGCTGCCTGGGGGCGTCGGCTGGACTGGACTGGCCCGGAACGGCATGGTCTGGGCTGCGTCGGCGCCGGGGTGGCTTGATTTAAGAGTAAAACAGTAAAAAATGGGAAGACGCGCAGGAGAAGAAGGAGGGAAAAAGCAACGGGCTGGCAGAAAATCTTGTGCATTACCCGTGGTTGTGGGGGGAGGCATGTCTGGCGTCTCGCCGGTTGTTTATATGGGGGGGATCAAATCTACCTAGCGCGAACACTCGAAAAAGCCATGAGTCTATCCACTTGGCGGTCTGACAATTTGCAGTGAAGTTTGGTCGAGGGGAACGGAAACATAACTGGAGGCGGAAAAGTGGTGATGGTGGTAGGGCCCAACACAACAACAACAACAGCCCCTGAGAGGCGATGGTAAGCTGCGGCCAGAGCTCGAGATCTTCTGCGAGATTTTCTCCTCGCGAGATTAAGTCAGAAGAGGGAAAAGAACCGTCCGCTGTCGAGATGGATCCCAGGAGCCTGGTTCGACACGCGCCCTAATCAAACCTACTTACCTACCACAAGCATGGCATGACAGATGACGGACGGCGCTTGTTGATGGCACATGGCCTTGGTCAAGAGTGAGATGCACGAAATTGGTGCCAAAATATGGACTTGGGTCTGTCTGCTTGTTTACCTTGGACACTAGGAGAGAGGTGAGAAGTGAAGTGAAGGGTATCCAGTGTGGCTATGCGCGTCCCGCGAAAAGCATGCCCGAAAAAGTCTTGGCAATCAAAAGTGAGCAATGTCTTGGCAGACCAATGGGAGCATCTTGGACGAAAAATCTCTCATACTGAAAAAAGGAGGGCTGGCTGGGAGGGGAGGGGGCACAGAAAATGAAGCTCAAAGTTGCGTTTTCTTAGGGCAGATAGTCGAGATGAGCGGATTTGGTAGTGCAATGGATGCGGCGACCTTGGCTGCCGCTAGCAGAAGCTTAGCAGCGCTAAACAAACCAAACACACGCACCCGCAGTGGACGGGTCCCACTGAAGCCGGCAGTGGCCCACCGAACCCACTGTGTGAAGCTTCAGTGTCCGGGGATGGCAGGGGTGCTAGTCCCTTTGCAGCTACGAAGTACCTGAGGAACCCAGCCAGAGCTACGGGCGTCTGTGCATGACATTTTCTTGGCTTTTTTTCTTCGTCTGTGTCTGTGTCTGTTGCGATGGAATGTTTGGGCTGCCTCCCCTCTCTCTGTCTGTGTCTCTCTCTTTCTGCCCACCGGCCATGACCGTTCCCTTTTTCGTCTCTTCTTTCTGACCATCCACTCTTTTCTCGACTGGGGTCTTCTTCTCTGCAGATCCCAGCCAGAGACGAAAACAGGGCCCTGCCGTCGACGAACGGGACACGGCAGAAAATCTGCAATGAGGCATTATGTTGCTGGCTGTTTCTGCTGTTACCAACGACACGAATATTACTCGGTCTTCACTTGAAGAGCCGATCAACAAGGGGCTCTACTTCTCGAGACCGCCCCTCTTCTGTCCCCTCATCTAAACGTCTGTACGGCCCTGAAAGCTCCGCATCCATTGCATCTCTCCGACGCCCGCAACTTGGCTCCTTTCTGACCCGCTGGTTGCTGCATGGGAGACGAACATGCGCGGGTTGTCTCGTACGCGCTGCAGTCTGCTGGCACGTGTAAGCGGCCTCCCACCACACAGTCATCAGACCGCCTGGACTCGCCTTCGCGCGGGAAAAAAGACTAGAGCTCGAGACTAACGAAGCAGAGGTGAAAAGACAATAGAGACAACAACGACAAGAAGGACGGCCTTCCCGCCCATTGTCTTGCACAACATCTGTCATCATCGCAAAGGCCGTTCCGAGCCACTCGTTGATACATGCTTCACGTCTCCCTTGCAAACACGTCCCATCCCTCCGACTCGTGCCCACCATCTTTTCTTTTCTTTCCCTTTTTGCCCATGAAGAAGAAGCCTCATCCTCCCTCATCCCCGCTTCCATCCGTTACCTACCCCCCCTGGTCCGAGCTACCCCTGCAGGTTCCCAACTTCAGTCCATGACCAGCAGCCATCGGCACCGCAGCGGGCGCCCGTTTCCTCACACTTCGTACAGCTCTCTTGCATCGTCCGGCCTCTGGGCTACCCGGCATGCCTTATTAGACCACTCCGTGAGAGAGAGCAAATAACATGCCACACGCCATGGATGCGCGCTAAGCCGTTCCCTCCTCCCGAACAGCCTGCCTGTCCTGCCTTACCCCAAGAGCCAGACCCCCCCGTCCCAGCTCTGCGTCTCTCCTGCAGCTTGTGACAATCATGTTTCTGTCAACGAGGGCCTCTGATAAACCTTCCCTGCCAGCCATGCGCGGCGCCCCCGTCATCGTCCAAGATTAGCCCGCGCATGTTGCATGTGCAAGCCGCGCTACTGCGTAGACTCGAGGGCTCACCCGAACAACACGGGCCACCATCGATGGGCGGTGTTGGTGGTCCCAGGGGAGAGGGAGAGAGGTGGGAGTGAACGAGACTACGAAGAGGGCTGGATCCTGGTCTCTAACCCTCAATCTACTGCATAGTACGTGCAGAATGGGAGCTTTTCGGCACCAAGGCAAACTAAGAAAGAAGACCGTCCGCACGCCACGCGCCATGGATGCATCTGGTATCGAGCCTTTCCCGCCGCACTAGCCAGACCGCCTTGGGTGGTGGCCCATCCCCAGTCCCCCGTCATCCATGAGCGAGAAAGTGAGAGTGAGACCCCGAAGATGGGCAAAGATGAACCAAGATCCCTCATGGGGTGTACCCCCACTGCTCCGATACGGCAATCTGCCTTTTGTCTTTTTGTCTTTTGTCCCGAGACAGGCACAAATCATCGTGAGATTAGGGCCAGGGCATCGGCGCGCCGGCGCGAACGCCCCCAACGTCTGCCCGCCTTAAAGAGCCCATCCCATTCCCCTACCATCCCATTTCCCACGTAGACGGTTCTGAAAGACCTCCGACTCCTGTCATCATCTCTCTCTTCTGCTGATCTGCTGCAACCTCCCTCCGGGAACCGGCTCTGCTATTTTGCCACGCTCAACACCTCCCACGCTGTGCTTTGCGCCGGCGCCTTTCCTTCTTCCACTCTCACTCCCATCTTCTCTTCTTCCTCCTTCTCACACGAATTAGACGTTTGCAGCGCCTGGCATGGCCGATCCAAACGCGCCCACCCCGCAGAGAATCAACTTCGACGACAACCTCGAGAAGCCCGACCGCATCACCTCGAGCTCGACCATTGACGAGTGGCAGAAATGGCAGCGTCCTGATGTCGGATCGAGCACCGGCGTCGCCGGCGGCATCTACTTTGGCCGCGACCTCGACCGCGTCGGGTCCAGGGGCCGCGCTCGCAGTCTCTCGCGCGCGCGTACTAGGGACTCGACTGTTGAGGTCGACGAGGGCGGAGACGACTGGAGGCGCGATGATGGAAGGAAGAAGCAGATTTTTACGGGGACGACTCTGATTTGGTTCGTGGTGAATGTGGTCCAGGAACGCGACGTGGCACTAACATGATGACAACAGGCTTGCGTATCAGTCGATCGGTGTTATTTACGGCGACATTGGCACAAGGTAAGCACCATTGCACATACTTCCATCATGACGCCTACTTACACGCCCATCAGTCCCCTCTACGTGTACTCCTCCACCTTCACCGATATCCCCACCAAGAACGACCTCACCCAGGTCCTCTCCCTCATCATCTGGTCCCTCACGCTCATGGTCACCGTCAAATACGTCTTCATCGTCCTCCACGCCGACAACGAGGGCGAGGGCGGCACCTTCTCCTGCTACTCCCTCCTCACCCGCTTCGCAAACATCACCACCGTCGACCCCCGCGAGGAGGCCACCCTCAACTTCGAGCGCTTCAACACCCAGGACGTCCGCCCCGTCACCCGCGGCATCCGCTCCGCCATCGAAAAGTCCAAGTTCACCCGCGGCTTCCTCAAGACCATCGGCGTCCTCGCCGTCTCCATGGTCATCGCCGATGGCATCCTCACCCCCGCCCAGTCCGTCCTCGGCGCCATCCAGGGCCTCTCCGTCGTCAAGCCCGACATCAGCACCTCCACCATCGTCGGCACCACCTGCGGCATCCTCGTCCTGCTCTTCCTCATCCAGCCCCTCGGCACCACAAAGCTCGCCGGCGCCTTCGCCCCCATCGTCATCGTCTGGCTCGGCTTCAACGGCGCCTTCGGCATCTACAACCTCGTCAAGTACGACTACACCGTCCTCAAGGCCTTCTCCCCCTACTACGCCATCCACTTCTTCATGGAGAAGAAGACCGAGGGCTGGCGCATGCTCGGCGGCGTGCTGCTCTGCTTCACCGGCGTCGAGGCCCTCTTCGCAGACCTCGGCGCCTTCAGCATGCGCGCCGTGCAGATGAGCTGGCTGCTCTGGACATACCCCTGCCTCATCCTCGCCTACTCCGGCCAGGCCGCCCACCTCGCCCTCTTCCCCGAAAAGTACACCAACCCCTTCTTCAACACCGTGCCCCCCGGCATGCTCTACCCGTCCCTCATCCTCGCCGTCCTCGCCGCCATCGTCGCCTCCCAGGCCATCATCACCGCCACCTTCCAGCTCTCCTCGCAGATCATGAAGCTCTCGTACTGTCCGCAGATGAAGGTCGTGCACACCTCGTCCACCTTCCACGGCCAGGTCTACGTTCCTCTGCTCAACTGGCTGCTCATGCTCGGCACCATCCTCGTCACGGCCGTCTACAACAACACCACCTCCCTCGGCCACGCCTACGGCGTCTGCGTCATCTTCGTCACCTTCTTCGACACCCTCATGGTCACCCTCGTCGCCATCCTCGTCTGGCGCCTGCCCGTCTGGCTCATCTTCCTGCCCTTCCTCGCCTTCGCCACCCTCGACGGCCTCTACCTCTCCTCCGCCCTCAACAAGGTCCCCGACGGCGCCTGGTTCACCCTCATGATCTCCGCCCTCATGGCCGGCATGTTCCTCCTCTGGCGCTTCGGCAAGGAGAACCAGTGGCGCGCAGAGAAGGAGGACCGCTTCCAGCCCTCGTCTCTGCTCGCCAAGGCCGCGGATGGAGGTTTGAAGTTGACACCCCGCTGGGGCGGCGACCTGCTCTCCCCCGTCAGCGGGTTCGGCATCTTCTTCGACAAGACGGGCATCCAGACGCCGAGCGTCTTCACGCACTTCGCCTCCAAGCTCGGCGCCCTCCCTGACGTTGCAGTCTTCTTCCACCTGCACCCCGTCGAGGTGCCCTCCGTCCCTGACGCGGAACGCTACCACATCTCGCGCTTCGCCAACATCCCAGGCTGCTACCGCCTCGTGGTGCGCCACGGCTTCATGGACGAGGTCGTCTCCCCGGACCTGGGCGCGCTCATCTACGAGCAGATCCGGCGCTTCGTCGTCCGCCAGGCGGCCGCGAAGGCGGCCACCGCCAGCGAGCAGGAGACCAATACGTCGGGCACGGCGACGGAGTGGGAGGAGACGGAGGGCCCGACGGAGCTGAAGGACGAGCGGGTCGCGGCGGAGCTGGCGAAGCTGGACCGCGCGTATGCGCACAAGGTGCTGTACATTGTGGGCAAGGGGCAGATGCACATCCGCACGGGGACGAATATTTTCAGGAGGATTGTGTTGGGCACGTTTTTGTGGATGAGGGATAATACGAGGGCCAAGATTGCGAATTTGAGGCTGGCGATGGAGAGGGTTGTCGAGGTTGGGTTTGTGAAGGAGATTTAATTAGAGTGTCTTGCGTTTGATGGGTTTGGGGCTTGAGAGGGATGAGATAGAGTCTCGATAATTTCAAGTTCGTTTCCCACATTTCTTTCACGACCATCTCATGATTTGGATGTTCGTCGAATCATCATTATCTCGCACCATCAACTGCAGTACTTCCCTCCACAAGTGACATGAACCCCTGGTTGCTGGCGGCCCCTTAAGTTTCCGCAAAGCAGTGATCTTCTGTTTGCAATCCCCTACATCCACCCACTGAGACCGAAAGCCTTCGGTTTGAATTCTATTCACTCATAAAGACAGCCCTCTACCGGCTTCTCAGCCTCTTTGCTCGTAAATGAGCAGTGGCCCGGCTCGACGTCTTTTCCAGAAACAACACCCCAAGTCAGAGGCAATGTCGCCAAAGAATCCCTTTCTGATGGGTCTGCGTGGCACGCCGCGGCGATTGCCGCACTGCAGCTACCCACCACAGGAATTCCGCCGTAACGCAGACGAAAATAGCCCGAAGTGACGAGAAATGCAATCAGGACAGCCCCTGCAACCATGACGAGAATAATCCCAATAGGCGACCACCCGGAAGAAGTGTTTTCATCCGAGAACTTATCGTAATCGTTATAAGATTCTACCCTGATGAGAAATATACTCTGCGAAATGAGCCAGTGGAGACCACCGGAGAATGCGGCAAGTGCCAACGAGTAACGGTACGGGAGTTGGAGGAAGTACGTCTGTCGCTGATGGCCTTGAGGCCAGGTAGACACTCTGAGACCTTTCTTTTTTCCGCCGAAGAACCTGTCCCATTCGGCAGCTAGGGATATGCAGGTGAAAAGGGCGTTGTAGTTGAAATAGATGAGCGACATCAGGACTTGTGGGATGTTGGCCAAAATTACACTCAGAATGAGGACATTCCGCTCGGGGTTGAAAACCTTCATGATAGTGTCGCTGTGGACGACGCCAGGCCCGTACTTTTCCAGTGACACTGGCGCCGGCGAAATTTGCTCACGAAGATCCGCAAGTCCGAACAATAGTAGTCCGCCACAAACGCACAGGGCTAGCACGCATCTGACAGCGGTGTTAGTAAATCCCCTCAGGTGGGAGGAGAGAGTATACTCACAGGGAAACGCAAACAACCCATCGACTGATACTGCCACCGCTGAATTTTCGGTGACGTGTAGGGTCAAAGTGCTTTGGGCTCGGCTCCCAATTCTCTTTGGAAAAACATTTCTTCGACTTGAGACACATTTTCCGCGTATGCCAGTCTGGAATCTGAATATACGATGCAACGGCATCTCCAACTGTCAAGATTGGCTGCTCAGTGTTGCCAACACCATCGTATGCAACGAAGAGCATGAGGATAGCCTTGGCCAAGTTGAGTATGGTCACGACCCAGCAGATTGCCCGACTGAAGAACAGCTTCGAATGCTCGAATGTCTCCTTATTGTAGCAGCCTCGAACGTCGAGGCCCAACGGCTTCCACGGAATGGAACCTTCCTTCATGTTGACGACCTTCTCGTCACAAGGGGTATCGTCTGAATAATACCAATCCGTTACGTTTTCTTTGCATAACCAATTGAACGATCCGGATACACCTCCCACGTACGCCCCGGCTGCTCCGTATTGAACGAATGTGACGTTGATGCCCGTGGAATTGGTTACGAGGACGAGGCTTCCCCGCTTAGATTGGAACGCGGTGCCGTAGTCTTCGAGGCAGGCGGTAGGGTCGCGGTATTCGAACGTCGCATTTGGAAAAGAGTAGAGATACCTGGTCCTAGGGAGGAGACCCGTGTCGAGTGTATCTGGCAATGACGTTGAATCCCTCCCTGGCACCGATTGCTCACTTACAACAAACACAGAGTACTCATTCGTCGAAATCGATGCGAAGATAACGGAGTTGAAACTGCAGCCAGGTCAGCACAGCCCATTCCCTTCTAGGACGAAGAGCTTCGTACAGTAGATGTAATGGGAATGACGATATGGACAACAGGACCCAGAGCACTTTTCTTCGTAAAGTGATGCTCCTGAAGTTTCGAATCGTCGGTATGCCAACATCAAGCCATCTCTTCTCCGAGTGAGCCTTGTCAAGCTCGCTTCGCGTTGGCGCCATCAAGCATTGCATGCAATAGTTACTTCCCGCAAGCAGAATGGTGCTGATGATATTGATGACGATGTGCATGGCTGTATTCCAGGCCTTCACGATCGTCTGTTCGCCCTCCCAGATAAGGCCAACACCGTCGGGGGCGTCCTGCGTCATCGTCCAGATGGTGAAGGAGAAGTTCACTATGAACGTGAAAAGTGCAGCGGCGGCAAAAGACAGAGCGCCTCGTCTCCATAGATCGCGAGGCACCAGGCCCTCGGAGAAGGGAGATTCAATGGAAAGTTTCATGCTGAAAGTGCAGGCTGAGCGAGAGGCAATCCGTTGAACGACAGAAATTACCACCCAGAGGTTGAACCACAAGGTTTCAACCGCAGGCTGTCGGAGAGATCCCATCTCTATTTGACATCCACCAGCCTTTCTGTCAATACCTGGGCCTTGGAAAAGCATCTTCTGTGCCGCAGGGATGTCTCAAGCAGCACGTCTAAGGCAGGCTCTGCCATAGGCGTCAGAAGAAAGCTCTAATGTAACCTCAAGCCACCAATCCCAAGAGATTTACAATGGCGTTACGAGCCTGATTGTTTAATAATGAGACTATAGAAGCAGGCTACAGACTGGTAAGCTGGTTCGCGATCCCGGTTCTTATGCCGTTCTTATCGTTGCCCCCTTCCTTCGGAGCGCCACCTAATCTCAGCCGTACTGGGATGTCGCACAAATCTGACAGTACTTGCCACTCTATTTCATTGCATTCATCCTCCATACTACACAATCGGCGGCTATTCCAACACTGGTCTGTGACTGGACGCCAACAGGAACAGAAAAGGATGATTGCAACACAACCATGGCGACAAAGATAGCATCACACCGTATGCAGCGGTGACTGATATCACGGAAGGCTGCATCTCGCAAATCAAAACGAAGATTTGCTGTCGCTCGGCTGATGGGCCTTGCTTATTACGGCAAGTCAGCATCTCAGTTTTGTTGCAGGTTGACCACTTAATCGCCAGACGCCCATGTAAGCGCAAGCAGGCTACCTTGGCACGGTTAACGTACCCACGGCCTGGAAGTCGTTATGGGTCAACGAGGGACATCTTGCAGCAAAGACGGAGGCCAGCTGTGTTGAGGAGGTGAGTATGACCCAATTTTGGCATTCAGTTCGGCGAGGGAGTGTTAACACAGGGGCGCCGGGCAACGGTTCATACTTTACCAATGCAGAATGGCAGCGTCTACTCCAGCAAAGAATTCCAAGACAGACACGTCCATAATTGTGACAAGAGCCGGAGTAAACAGACAAAGTCCACAAGAGAGGCGGAGAGAATAGACTCAGTGATTCAGTATCCAATTTTGAGCATTATTGATGCAGCAGCTGGGGACAGAGCTTGTGGCGTGAAGACTTTCGCAACATGGGGCGAGAGATCTCATAGTAAGGTATTTCAGGAAGGACACACCAGTGGGAAATGAAAACAAAAGTACCCGCCAAAAGCCTGCTGTGTTCCCCCAGTAAGAGGCTACTAGTAACTTCTTAATGTCTTTCTTTTCACTGTAGTGCGAAGTGACGTTATGTAACAGGGGGGGATTACCTCCTTTCGCCGAGCCTTATTCTAACTACTTTAGATTCTCGAAGTTCACATTTGCTGAGTTGTAATCGGGGGTCTAGGCTTCATAGGTAGTGACTGAAAGGATGCGGATGAGGCTAAATGACAGTGGATTAGTTAGTGAACGAGCTGAGGCTAATCATGAGACTACCAACGTTTTCAAGAAGAACGTCCATAGCCTTTCATCTTACCATCATCTCAAGATGTTTTGATTTCGCTCTGCATAAACGTTTCCGAGGTTTACCATCGCCTGCTTCAATAACTTTCAGACCAACTTTACAACAGTGCTGCCTCTGCCTCGAGAAGGTAAAAGCTCGCCGTCCATGGCCCCTTGCAGATAGCAATCTCCAATCATGTTGTGCACTCTCGATTCCCCACTCCCATCTGACGCCCGGAAAACAAATGGAACTCGGAATCCGTAGACGCCCCAAATTTCATCTCCAGTCGTTGCTTGCGGTAGACAGAGACCAATTCGCCCACGTTCCGTAATGTAAAGTGCTCGTTGATTCAGAGAAGAGCTCACTGCAGAACGATAACTTCCGTCTGAGAAGCATTTCAGATCACCAGTGTTAATCACTGCGTTTAGCTCCTGCTTCCCCGGGCGTTCCTCCGCCCGAAGGCGTCGCGAATGTTCAGACCTTGCTATAACATTGAAGGCATACTCGAAAATCGTCGCCAAGATGTTGACTTTCCACATTCGCTGAGCGACAAACTTACGCCTCCAAGCTGCAAACTGGTCATCTGGCATCCTTTCTGCGACAATATCCGCGCATAACAAGGTGGCCAATTGCTCATGAAACGTAACATCGGTGGTTTTATCAGCAAAGCCACTTTCTCTGAGTAGGCAAATCCACTGAAATAGGGCTTTCTTCAATGACTCAGGGCTCGTAGGATCGTCAACCGTCTCCCCAACAACTCGAACCTTGTCCATAGGAAAGCCTTTGAGGTGCAATTGCCTCCCCTGAACCTTGACATGCCCTCTCGACCACCCCGAAGGCTGATACAGCTTCGAGAATCCGATCCTCCCTTGATGTGCGTGAAGGGCCTCGTGACTCCAGCTCTTGGAAAAGTCTGGCACCCATGAGGGTCTATAATTGGCTGTTGTGGAATCTGACCCAAAGTTCATCCATTGGAGAACACGATAGTCTATTCCCCAGCCGAGAAAGTTGTTGAGATGCCCCCTAGAATACTTCGCTTCCCTCAGCATGCACTCGAAAACCGAGGTGAAAAGAACACCTTCCGGAATGGCGTAGTCGAGAGGGCAGTCCTTGTAGAAAGAGGGCGTCATGCTCCAGAGAGAGTAGATCCTATCCCGTGCGTCGTGGCACTGCCGGCTGGAAAAGCTCGTCACAATGTTGTAAAAGCAATCTCTCCCGTCCGTCGAACGCCGCCCGATAAGAACTTCGCGGCGGTGCTGTACCTTGGCAAAAGCCTGGTAAAACTTGTTGAGCTGTGTCATCTTTTCTCCAGGGAAGAGATCGATGGCTTCTGTACAACACGACCTCAGGCGATCTCGATGCTGCCAAAGACGCTCATGACTTGCGTCTATAACCTTGATATCACAGCTGTCTGCTGCATAGTGAAGGAAAATGACCCGCGGGGGTAGAAATGCTTCCTGCGCAGTCCAAGCCCTGGTCCACCACGAGCTATTTGCAAGGAGCATAAATCCCTCCCAGAGAGCACCAAATTCGGCTGTCTCTGTAAATTTGAGTCTTCCAGTGCGCTCGGAGCCATGGTAACCTGGCACGTCGTGAAAATGGTCTCCGGCTATGAGGGAGCACAGACCGCCAAGACTGCTAACGCTCTTGTTTCTGGGTGTTGTGCCGACATTGTGTGTGGGATCAGGGAGCCAGACGTTGACTTGCGAGCAAGACTTGTATATGTCAGCCATAAGCGCGACTTGTTCGGACTTCTCCTCGTCGTCATCCTGATTGATACAGATGCCGTCTGCCCACAACCGAAGCGGTCGGTCATTTCTCCGAAGGTACCGGAGAAAGGAGCCCAGGCTCGCGGTGATCTGAAGTGAGGTGCGGTCGACAAGTATGGTCGTTCGTGGCAAAGTACTACTGCCCCATACATATGAGAGAGTCTCGAATCTTCCCTTCTCATGCTTGAGGTTTGCGACAACGAGGCTTCCATGAAGTTGTCCACCACCACCATCTGTAGTTTGGGGATGGAGAACCAAAATTCGGAACTGTCCGGCGCCAGGGGTGAGTGGCCATCGGCTGTACATATTTAGCTTAGTTATCTTCCTGATTCTCATGCCATAGGCCTAATAATCATAGTCGCAATGTTGGAGGTGAAGTAGCGTCAGCCAATGAAAGTAGCTGCCGTATTTTGAGCTACCATCTGATGATGGTGTCTTGGAAGTGCAGCGCCATTTCGTGACTTCTAATATAGAGAAAAGAGGATGAAATTAGAAAAGGCGGTGACGGGTCGATTGAAGATATGACGTACTGTCGGACGCCTTACGACTTGGCTTGTAGCTATTGTACAACCAGACGACGCCCACTCTTAGGTGAGACAGTTGGCCGCCGTCAACAGTACCCACAGCTGCGTCTGAATTTCGAAACCGAGACAAAGGTTTTCGACATTTACGCAAGCCTACCACAGCGAGCTGCTCGTCTTGTAATACCCATAGTGTCACTAAGTACGTTTTAGGGGTTCAGAGCAGAAAGAAGCAGCTCGTCGGCGTGTTGCTTTCATCTAATGAGGGAGGACACCTAGGCGAGAAGCTGGAAAGCTTACACGTAAGCCGCATCGGCGAACTTCAATGCAGGGTTCGGTGAACACCGGCAACAGACAGAATTACTATGCATAAATTTGTATCTCTCTTTCGGGGATTCTTGGTAGTCGTGCTAGGTTGTAATCGGGGTATTGAACATGGTTACTATGAATATGAGCCTTCTTGTCAGTCCTGGGGCAGTTTCGCATCATGGATGCTTGCATTGATCCACGTCTATTGCTTTCTCCAAAGGGTGTGACCTGTGGAATGTTACGCCAAATCGGGAGCCTAAAATCATAATACTATATTGACAAGGCTATGAACAAGTTTAAGAAGAACAGAATTAGAAAGACCTCAAAATGGCATGTTTGAGATCAGATGACACGGCGATGTAAGTATTTTCATTCTCTGGAATCTCAAATTGAGAGCTACTTAATAATTCTTATTTCATACAAAAGGTGAACGGGAAGGCTATGGAGTAGGATGTTGAAGCTAAGCTTCTGTAGGTGGAAGTGAAGCAAGCCATTGCATTCAAGCTAGCTGGTTGCCCTTAGTAAAGGGAGTCGTAAGTGTAGCAAAGAAAGTCATTGCCAATATCCATGAGGTCCCTGATAGGAAGGGTCACATTGATAGTTGAATTGGTGCGGACCTCGAAATCGAGAGTGACGTTGCCACCGAGACGGTTGTCATGGTCAAAAGGAGTAATTGGGCCGGATATATCGTGAAGACGCTCCGTCAGATTCCTCGATTGCCAGGACCACCAAGACCGATCAATGTTGCAGTGATGCAACCAGAAAAGAGGATCACCAGCTGTTGATTGTAAGCGGACGAATTTGATTGGTGCTCGAAGGGGTTCGACTCACGACTGGCCCAGATATCGCTTAGGACACCATACATACCACCAACACCCTGATGACCGGCGCCGTGAATAGTGTCTTCAGTGAGCTTGCTGAAGAATCCATAATCAGACTGCGCCATTCCCTCCGCCACCGAAGCCGAATTTCCCAGGCTCATGAATTGGTTAGGGGTGAAGTCCCTTCGGACGCACCATTCGTTGTACGCAACACTATTCTGGGGGCCCATGTGAAGGGTAAGGTTGGCAAAAGGGCCGTTTGGGATGCACCCGCCTCCAGTCCGGTCAGACATGTTAAAGACAAGGGTGCCACCGGTCAAGGGAATGCCAGGTTCGGGGTTTTCAGGTGTACCAGGCACCCATTCGCCGTTCCCACCGAAACCTGTGTCAGGGTCGAAAACCGGGGACTTGAGCATGTCATCATAGCTTGCGGCGTCCAATGACCAGTCCCAATATGGCTGAGCTCCTTCATATCCGCAAAGCCGTAGCTCCCGCTCGTAGGCCCACACAAGCAAGCGATGCCAGGGATAAAAGTGACCCTAGACAAAAACACTTTTTGTCAGTACAGGAGCATATTTAGATTTATAGATTTCTCTTACCACAAAGTGGTTCGCAGAAGCCTGGAGGATATGGTCTCCGACAAAGTCTTCGTAACGGTTGGTAACCCCAGGCAGGATTTCCTTCGAATTGACGGCTGGCTTATTGTACAAGCACTTGACAGCGTCAATATAAGACTTCTTGTCTTCCGTCGAAAGCGTGCGCCTGCGTATGAGTCAATTACTGCTGAACTTGTACGGAAAATGAGAACAGGAAGGGATAATGGTGGGAGAGAAGAAAAGCACTCACCATTCTTTCCGAACCAGAGGCTGGGTACATGTACTGTTGGCTTGTTTCTTAACCAGCTGTTCGCCAGTGGGCATAGCAGCGAGAGGGTTGATGAGAGCCAAAGCGGCCAGAAACCAAGAGTAGGTGACCATGGTTTTTGCCTTCTGCCAAAGCGGCTCCTGAATAGTTGCGAGTCAAACGATAAGCTAAAATCTCAGTGAGGATCGCGAAAATGAAAGGTGTTTTATTTAGCATTACTTTTTATATCACCACACTACGGATGCAAGCCTGTCCAACACATTCAAATCATCATAATCAACTACTCACTAACCAAGAGTCGTGCGTTGAGCGCTCGGTCGGGTTGTTGAAATGTCCGTTCGGTCGCAAGACGTTGCTAGTTGCCGAAGCGGCCCGCTGCCAAGCCCAGATAGTCTGCCCAACGAGGCGGGAAAAGCCTCAATAATTCAACAGCCGAGCTTGGCAAGAAGAATCTCAAGTGTACAAACAAGATCTGGTCTTGTTGACTATCGTACTAATGCTCAACTGCAGGCGCAAAATGCCACACTCAATTCAATTAGGAAGTCACAGACTCTGCATGACCAGAAATCAGTACCACAGACTCATCTAGGCTCAACATCGCGCGCGGCATGAGGAAATGGGAAGGTGTCTGGCATTGGAATCGCGCGCGGCTCGGGAAGGAAGAAACATTTGTCTTCCCGATGCCCATCTTTACCGGAATGTTTTAGGAGTTGAGGAATAGAATGCTTGGCAACACTTGCAATAGTTCCGCGGTCAATTAGATTGGCACCAAGTCAAAACTATTAAAGTAACTTCCCATCCGTTACAGTCGGATCATTATAAGTCTTTGAAATTGTCAACCAGTTCAAGTTCTTAAACCTCCCTACCCAACACGCACGTCAAGATGCTCTCCACGTTCCTCCTGACTGCAATCGCCGGACTATCCGTAGCCAGTCCAACCATCGTTCACCGCCAGTCGGGTGCTGTCTATCCCGACGTTGCCGACACGCGCTATGCAACAACTGAAGCCGTCAACATCGTCCAAGAGTACTTTACGGCAAAGAGTCTCCACGACGTTCAGCGCTGGATCGGCTACTTCGACACCACCGAAGGAGTCTATGTCGACGCAACTTTGGGCACCTTCTTTTCTCAGCCAGATCTTCTAGCAACCTTCGAACCCGTTGTTGCCGGTTGGACCGCGGATGCGAAGTCCTACCCACTGCGAATCGTTGGCGATGCCAACAGCGCCGTGGTCACTTTTGTCGACACTCCGGCCGTCTTTGGCGCGGAAATGCGCTTGATCGCTGCGTTTGACTTCCGCGACGGCAAGGTCTTGCGCCAGGTCGACTACTGGGACTCACGCCTCAACCCTGTTTCGGCGTATCGCGTGCCTGATGACCAGTTCCCCACCGATTTCGCCGAATCGCGTGTAGCATCTCAAACCAATGAGAGTATCCGACGCGCTGCAGATGAGCTCCACGCAGCTCTCACCGGGGGCAATGTCTCCGCCGTGGCTGACCTTCTGACTTTCGATGCTGTCCTACAGGACTTTACCACTCGCACACGCATTGAAGGCAAGGCGGCCATTGAAAGATACCTGAACAGAGCTCTGCCCACTTTGCCCTACGGTTCCGGTGCTGCCGTCCGCCACGTTGTTGGAAGTGCCGTGGGTGGAGCCTATGAGTGGAAAGGTCGTTCTGGAAGCGGGGCCGACAACGGAATCACAGCTCTTCTGCTGAACTCTGAGGGCTTCATCACCGAGGCCACCACTATTTGGGATGCTTCTCAGTTTGACAACTCCACTCTTCAGGCTCTTGCTGGATTTTCAATTGAATAGTCTTTTGATTGGTGGAAGAAATTCATGTTCATTTCTAACAGATAACAAGAAGTTGACGGGGGGTCTACACCACATTGTCAGCTCACGGTCCAGAATCTCAAGAGTAACCATGTAGGGACGAGGTATTAACGGGCATGTGTAGAATCTGAGGCTTTTGCGAACTCGATGTTCCACCTACTTGAGTAGCATTCAAATAAAAGGCCAGAAGGCAACTCAAATATCGAATAACCAAGGAGGCAGCCTATTTTTCCTGTGGTAGAGCGACTACCTTACTGCCGCCGCCGCCGCCGCCGCCGCCGCCGCCGTCGTCGTCTTTATTATTGTTTCTATCGTTGTTATTATCGTCCTTATCCTCGTTATCGTTATTGTTATCGTCGTCATCGTTTTTATCGTCGCTATTACTACTATCGTCTCCGATGGAAGGAATTAAGTACATACATAATATAGCCGCGCAGACATAGGAAAAATAGGCTGTCTCAAGGAGCGGTACCGAGAGCTCAGTTGGATCGGGCTCGGGCCTAGAACTCTCTATAGGGAGGACTCAGTGAGTACTTACTAAAGGTCGGAAAAGGAGATCTTAGAAGAAGCAAGCAAAAGTAGCGCAGCAATACTGTACTTACCTTTCAGGTGCTTCTTCCATCAGTTCAACCTAACTTTGGTCCATAGCCCCTAATACCTTTACACTATAACGAGATAAATTTAGAAGGGAAGACAGGGGGACCCAGCAGGGAGAAGTCCGGCAAATAGCGTTCACTATTTTCCTTCAGCTGTATTGATTCTATAACCCTATAATTCAATACCCTCCTCTATTGAAGCTTGCTTGTTGCATCTGCTGATTTCGCCGCTGTTGTTCCAGCCACTTTTCCATGACTTCCTGGAGCTTGTCGGGTGGGAGTTGTTGGATAGCGTATCTCTGCTCCGCGTTCATTTGGGACATCATGTCGTTGTAGACTTGGTCACCATTGTTTGCTATGAATCTCCGCCGCTGGTTTTCTTTAAGAGTTGGAAGCATCCGTGTTGTGTCGTCCATTTGAAGAGAATCTATCTGTTGATATTGCTGCGGTTCGTCCTGCTGCGTCAGGCCAGATCCATATGCTGGCAATTTCTGGAAATTTGTCATCGAGTCTGAGCTATTGAATACCTGGGGAAACTGGACCTGTTGAATCTCTGCATCTGAAAAATCTGGGTGAAGACGACCAGGTCTTGGAAGCTTTGTTTCCTCTTGCATCTGTTGCCGCGGATCTTCGATTGGCGGCTCCATTGGTGTCTCCAATTTTCCATGCGCTGGTTGCCGTTCGCTGCCTGTTTGACGCCTGCGAACAATTTTGGGCGGCTCTGGATGCCTGTGGACTTTATTGCTATGCCTACGTAAAGCCTCAGCTGACGCAAATGACAATACTGGCAACCATGGAATAGACAAAGGTATCTCCACACCCTCCTCCTACATACCAATCCACCAGCACCCACTGTTAGTGCTGCGCTGGGTCCGCCATATCAACACTAACACTGCTAAACCCATCCCACACAACTAGAACCCTCGCCCGCGATGGCCTCGCAGCCAGCCGCGGGC